CCCCCTGCACAATGCCGGACGCCCGCTGCAGTTTCTTGCTGGCAGCAGCCTGGCATCGGCTCTTTCCCACCCTTCCGAGAGGGAGGGCGAGCCCGCCGGTGGGTGGCCTTGCGCAGCCCCGTCATTCGTTCCGCGCAGCAAGGGCGCTTCCCTCTGTTCGCTTGCTTTTTGTGGTCCTGGGAGAGCTCACTGCCGGCGCTGCTGGAAACTACTGAATGGCACGGCTGCACTTGATTTTCCGGCTGAAAAACCGGGCAAGACCCACCATCAGTGTCCGGGGTGGAGTTTGAAAGGCCTGGGGTCTTTGGCACGTGTCTATAAAGAGAACACGCGTCCCACGCGATTGGCACGCTGTAATGCTACAGTTGCCAGGAAAGTAGACGTTCAAATGGGCCACTTGGGGTTCCTCTCTCTATCACTAACGAATCCCTCCAGACCAAGGCAGTTGTTTGGGTTTGAAATTAAACCCACTGCTTGAGGGTTCGCAGGTGCCCGGTGGCAAAGCCAAGGATGCCCTGAAAACTAGGCTGCAATACAGGGTAGGGCTGAGCAGACCAATTCCCTTCTTGGAGGAGAAAATGCGCACAGCCAACACCACTTCACACCCAGAAATGCCTTTTCCTTGCCCCAATCAACTGTGAAGGTGGAGAAAAATGGCTCCAAACTGATGGCTTGAAAGGACTTCCCTCCAACTGATTGATTGATTTGATTTATATTACAATGCAAGGGGGCATACATACGGCTCCCTGCTATTTTTACCACCACAAGTCATAATATTGCTAGCATCTGGAATGTAACCAACTTGGACATGTTCAGATACCACAGTCCACAACAATTCCAAAACCTGGGGAAAATGGCAAATTGAGGGCTTTCAAGAATGGACTGGGCAGGGGCATCCATGAGGCGGGGTGGGGGGCGCATAAAAGCCGAAAGCCTTCAGTTGTGTGGTCGCACCTGCCATCTTAACTTTCTTTACCCCCTTGGGCCCCTGTGGTGTGTGCCAAGGGGGACCTTCAGATGTATTGCTGACCTACAACTCCTAGCAGCCCCAACCAGCACGGGTGATGTTAGAGATGCTGGAAACTGGAGTTCAGCTATCAGAGCTTTCCCATGGCTGTCCTGAACCATTAGTTCATCATCAAACAACCACTCTTCCTAATAACTTTCTCACAGTGCAGCCAAAAGTACATAGCAACAATCAATGTATTCAGGGTTTGCCTAGAAGATTTGCGGAAATACTTTTAAAAATCAAACCAACGGAGGCTGGGGAAAACCACAAACATGGCCTGAAAGTCCTTTGCAAACATTGACTATCAACCATCTGTTTGGTGAGGCATCTCTGGGAGGGAGGGATGAAAAGCCACCACTTGCTGCCCAGGTGCTTGGTGAAAAAAAGCACCAGCTTGCAACATGTTGTGCAGTGGCTGACCTTATTTTTTCTCAGAGATAAACACCGAATGGCGTGAGCAACAGTGCACAGTTGCAGGGTGTGTCAAGCCCCACCGGCTGAGCAAGACCAAGGAAGCAAGTACTGCACAGATTTCAGGAACATTTCTTCAATGCTAGAATTAGGGGGAAATACACAGTCTTGGAAACCGTAAGAATTTCCCAGCCACGGGGAAGTCATGAAGGTAGTCATCTTTGCAGGATTTGAAACACTTCTTCCCTGGTTTCTCCCCCCACTCCGCCCTCTGGGCTGAGTTGCTGTTTGTGAGATAAGCTGCCAGCAGACCCCCTTCTCTCTCTCGAGTGCTTATGTCCCCCCCCCATTCCTTTCCCAGCCTCCCCACAACCTCCCATGTGGTGTGTGTGCTGCAGCCCCACCACGTTGCCTGTTGCGCTTGCCTGCAGTTTTCGCAGAAATGGTGGGAAACTCTTAAAGACTGGTTTGAGCAGTTGTGTCACAAAATCTGCCAGTGTGTTGCAGGTAGTACGCACATGTGGCTCAGGGACCCCCCAACAGTTCCCCATTTCTGTTTTAAAGGATTACTTCAATAGTTGCATCTGTATCCTAACTCACATTTGCTCTCTGATATCTCTAAGCAGAGTTCTCAAGAAGGGAACTGCTCGATCACCAGGAAACCAGGAAGTTTGGAAACATTCCAGCATTTTATTTATTTTTATCAACTCGTAAAAAGTGTAGACAAATTTTGGGGCCCATGAACTTAGAAGCAGTGATCAAATACAGCAAAGATAAATAGACATCCAGCTGAGGTGGGAGAAAGGGCAAGGCCATGCTTTTAAATCAAACATGGAAAAAGAATTACATCTCCCACAAAGCATGCAGGAGGAAGTAAACAACAGTAGGCAAGGGGGTCCATGGGAGGGTGTGTGTGTGGGGGGGTCCAAACAGTTAATATGGTGGTCACAACCATGTGATCAAAGCCCAACCCTTGTTGAATACATCACACATACATGTAAAAAGGGGACAAGGCTTCAGTCGCATAGTCACAGCTGCCATTTTGATTGTTTTGACCTCCCTCGAAGCCAGGCAGAAATGGAAACGGCTGTTATGGTGACAAGCAGGCCATTGGGATTACAAGAGACAGGGTCGGTGGTCATTCGTCTGCTTGTAAGTCAAGGGCCCAAATCTCAGAATCTGGGAATGTCCCTATTTGGTAAGCAGTGTTGGAGAAAAAGGATGTCCATGGTGTCAGGTCTGCCAAAGGCCAAGCAGTTATTAAAGATGGGTGAGAAATTAATTGATTTCACATTAGAACATGAGTCTCTGTAACTCCCCCTTTCAACCAATAGACAATGATTCTCTGTTTTGTAGCTGCACGTGACCCAAATGCAGCTGGCTGGAAATCATCCCGAAGGCAGAAGGGCAAACCAATTCCACAGTCTGCCAGGAGAACTTCATGAATGGATCCCTGAAGTCACCAGCAGCTGAGTCTGACTCGAAGGAGACTTGACTTTACGCCACTGAGCCAGGACCAAGTCCTGGGTCCCAGTTTTTGCAGCCCTGGAGTCATCTGCAGAAAAGTTGTATCCTTTTGAGAGAGACATGCACAGAAACATCACCCTAAACATTAACATCAGTAAGGTGTTACATCTGAAAAAACACACATCCCCAAATGCTCCCCCCATATACAGAACCCGATGCCAGGAAAAGGAACAAGAGAAGCACTGCTCTAAAGGGCCAACCAAACCACCAAAGCTGGCCCTGAACGTTTCTCCTGAACACCCAGGCACGCAGTAATCTGTCAAAATCTAACAAACTGGATGAAGAGAAAGGGCTAGCCTTTCATTGATGAAATCTACCCAACTTCTTCCAACCAGAAGATTTTGATTAACCTTTTTACCCCAGATATGGTACAGAGGCTTTTTTTTCCCTGTCTTTAAATATTCCAAATCAGCATTCAGTTTTAAATTAAGGTTGTTGATGCCCCAAGAGACATCCAGGTCTTGATCTCCTTGGCTTATTGGGAACTCCAGAAAGACCTTCTCAAAATCATTAATTCGGTGGGCAGAGGAGTGAATTCTTTGGATCCACCACCCTTGTTCAGATTATAGAGTTTGGCTATAAATCAAGGATCATTATAAGATATTTGGTATGATGTCAAGCTGATTGGTCTGTAGTTTCCTGGGTCTACTTCCCTTTTTTAAAATATTGGAACAACGCTGGCTCTTCTCCAGTCTTCTGGCACTTCCCTGCGCTCCAGGATTGCTCAGAGATTTCAGTCAGTGGCTCTGGATGAGGTCCACCAATTCCTTTAACGCCCTGGGACGTAATCCATCTGGTCCAGGAGATCGGAATTCGTACAGAGCAGCTAGGTGTTCTCTCACCAATTCCTCACCTATTTTGATCTCCATTTCTCTTCTGCTCCCCTTAGTGCCGCTTCTGAGAAGTCGGACTGCTTTTTCCTTTTGTGAAAAAACAGGTGCGAGGTAGGAATTAAGCAGTTTGGCCTCCTCCCCGCTGTCTGTCACCATCTTGCCATCTTCTCCAGCTAGTGGGCAACCATTTCCTTGACTTTCCTCTTCTTCCAGACAAAGGGACCCTTTTTTGTTATTCTGGCGCCCACAGCGAGCCTTGGCTTCCTGACCCCATCCTTGCAGAGTCAGGCCATTTCCTAATATTCTACTTTTGTTACAGGCCCCTCTTTCCAGTTTTTAAACGTGCCCTTTTTGTTTCTCAATTTATCAGAGAGCTCTTGGTGCAACCATGCCAGTTTCATCAGGCATCTCTCTCTCTCTCTC